GGCACGGCACGGCACGGCACGGCACGGCACGGCACGGCACGGCACGGCACGGCACGGCACGGCAGCCGCCCCCCAGCACAGGGCCCCCCGGCACGCACGCGCGTGGGCCGCCCCTCTCCTCGGGGGAGGGAGCAGCGAGCTCCGATCCCGGCGCATGCGCCCTGAGCCCAGCGCCCCCACTCGGCTCCTCTCGGGCCGCGCTCGGCTATTTCCGCCTCTTTGTTTTAAACTCCAGGCCGAGCCTTTTAATTTTAAACACCTCCCCCACACGCCGTTTTTTATTTTTTATTTTTTTAATTTTTATTTATTTTTCATTTTCCGCGAGGGGAAGGGGAAGAGGGGCCGGTATCCCTCTCCTCCCCTCCCCCCCTACCCCGCCAGCCCTCCCCTCCTCTCGCCCTCCCTCTCCCCACGAAGGACGGGCAGGGCAGGGCGCCAGCGGCTCGCGAAGCGGCGGACCCCCCCGGCAGCCGGAGACCGCGCCCCTCCCCGCACACGGACACGGCGCCGCCCCCCACCCCGGCAGGTCAGTGGGGCCGGGGCCTGCAGGGTCCCTGGGGCGGGCCGTGCGTGGGATTCATGCGGCCCGCGGCAGGGTGGGAAGGGGCGAGGGAGCGGCCCCGATGCCTCTGTGTGCGTGGGGGCTGCGCGTCAACTTCGTGTGCGCCGTCGGGGGGTGAGGTGGGGGGAGGGGGATGCGGGGCTTGCGTATGGCTTTATTGGAACTGTGTGCTGCGATCTCCGCGCAGCTCCTCCCGTGGTCTGGGGGCACGCAGGTAGGCGTGGGGGGGGCCCGAAGCCCCGAGAAACAAAGTCGTGCTGCCGGCGCTGGAGTGGCTGGATGCGCATAGTCCGAGGTGTGTGGGTGTGCGCGTTTCGCGTGGTCAGCTTGCGGTGGTTTTCTGCAAGTTTTAGTGACTTGGGTTGGCTCCTTCGAGACCCAAAGCGAGGGGTGTTCGTTTGGAGCGAACGTGCCCTGAGCGGAACGGGGCGCAGTGGAGGTCTGCTGTTACCACAGCCTGGGTCTTCCTTTGCTGCTTCGCAGGTATTTTTGGAAGTATGGAAGTATCGCTGTATGCAGGCTTTGTGTTGAAGCAGCCTAGCCATTTCCTGCCTTCTGCAGGAAATAGATGTGTCTGAGGAGCCAGGACTGAGAAACTCCATTTCATTGTCCCTGTACGCTCTTGAACATCCAAGAAAAACAGCAAATACTTCAGTATTTCTCCAGATTGCCTTTCATAATTGCCTTCTGGAGTCTCACAGAACAGCTAAGGTTGTGGGTGAAAAGATTTGCGTTTTAAAATGGAGAAGGAGGGGGGGAGAAAAGTTGAGCTGCTTCTCAAACATAGGTTCGTCTTAACTACTTCATCTCATCCATAGATTGATCTTCTAATGTAAACTGATTCCCTCTCTGAAGCCTGCTAAGTACATTGTTACAGGTCTTCTTGCTACCAGGTACTGTGGCTTTTTTTGTTGTTGTTTTGCTTTTTCTGAACTGTTGTTGCCATTTGGTAGGGCATGTGTGAACTTTACATATGTATATATATTTTTTAGTGGCAGGTCAGATAAGGAATCTGACCGTGAAACTCACTGTGTGTTTCTTAAAGGATGCTGTGCAGTTACACAGCCCTTTGGTTGGTGACAAAATGAATTGAAATAGAAGCATTGCACCCTTCCACTAGTTTTATTCAGCCTGGGGAAGAGAAGGCTCAGGAGAGACCTGATAGTGGCACTCCAATAGTGAAAGGGCTCTTTAGGAGGGAAATCAACTCTTCGTACAAGTAGATAGTGATAGGAGAAAGGAGGACAGCTTTAAACTAAAAGAGGGGAGATTCAGGTTAGGTGTTAGTCAGAAATTCTTTACCCTGAGGGTGATGAGGCTCTGGCACAGCTGCCAAGAGAGGCTGTGATGCCCCACCCCTGGAGGTACTCAAGGCCAGGTCGGATGGGGCCCTGGGCAGCTGAGCTGGTGGGAGGCAGCCCTGCTCATGGCAGAAGGCTTGGAAGTAGATGATACTTGAGGTCTTTTGTAGCCCAAACCATTCTATGATTCCTTCAACTTAAGTTGTTCTTACAGCTATTTAACGGTGTGTTTATGAGAATACAGAACTGAACAGAGTAGAACTGATGGTACTCGGTGAGACCATGTCCTTAGGAACATAGTTAGGAAAACACCTGTCCCTTTTCTAAAGAGATGTGTAAGAGTACTGCAACTGGAAGCTTGGAAGGATGCAGCTTTCAAAGCATTATGTAAAATTCTACATGATGGAAATCTGCTTCAGTTCTGTATGTGGGTTTATGCAGCCCACCTGATCTGGTGGCTCTAATGTCAGCATAGACAATCAACATAGAATGTTTTTAAAATGTTGTTAAAGCCAACTTGTATCAATGCAAGCATAATAACTTCTGCTATTCCTGGTATTGATAATTACCATGCCTTGAAAGATTTCTGCTTCTAAAAGGCTGTGAAGTACCATCTTGAACTTGCTAGTATGGAATTGAATCATAAAATCATAGAATTGTTTGAGTTGGAAGGGACCCTTAAAGATCATCTAGTCCAACTGCCCTGCAATGAACAAGGGCACTTAAAGCTCAGTCAGGTGCTCAGAGCCACATCCAGCCTGACCTCAAGTGTCACCAGGCGCAGAGATCATTTTTTGTGGCCCTCCTTTGGACACACTCCAACAGGTCCATGCGTCTCCTGTATTGAGGACTTCACATCTGGATGCAGTACTCCAGGTGAGGCCTCTCCAGCACAGGGCAAAGGGGCAAGAGAGGGGAAAGATCACCTCCCTCACCCTTCTGACCATACTGCCTTTGGTGCAGCCTATCATACTGTCGGCTTTCTTGGGCTGTGAGGGCACATTGCTGGCTCACATCCAGCTTACCTCCACCAATACTCCCAAGTCGTCTGTAGTTGCTGCAGTTGCCCAGCCTACTCACGGTGGCTATGTAGAATCAGTAAGGGAAGGTCACCTCTCAACTTTATACTTGAGACATAGGTAATGTTTCTACATTTGCTTCAACAGCTTCCACTTATTTAGTTTTTTTTTCCCCCCAAATGACTGTTTAATCTAGGTAGCCTTTTTAGATTTTGTCTTTCTTATTTTTTTTTTTTTTCTTACATGTAGAGATCTCCCAAGACTGAAATAGTTCCAGAATAAAATACTGACTCGTCTGTAAGAAGCAGCACTTCCATTAAAGCTCTGAGCTAGATATAACTTGCAAAGTGGTTGTGAATGTAATGTTTTGAAAAGTATGCAGCTGGTAGCATTTCATTCCTTACCTACTATCTTGACAGACGTTGGCTTCAAATGTAAGAAAAATGTAATGATATTCTTTGTATGTATTAGACATTTTCTTTTTTATTTTTTTGTTGTTGTTTTGGAAATGTTGTCCAGTTGACACACAATTGGAAGCAGAGGTACTAAATAAAAGCTTGTGTTGATAATGGTGTTTGAAGATGCAAAAGAATGTAGTCAGTAGTGTTGACTGGTTTAGTGATTTGAACATGGTTTTGTTTTTGTTATTGCTAGCAAGGATGCATAATGATGTTTCAAACCACTCCAACCTGCTAGATTAGGCACACTGTTGGGTTTAAAGGAAATACAGAGGAAACTTACTCAGGACAGCTTGACTGAAGTAAGTTAAAAGCCAGGAAGAAGCTGCCCGTGTCTAGGATCTTTTAATTATGCGAGACATCTTTTGAAGTTCCGTCTTGAAGTAAGTTTATAGTGTCATATTCTTCGCACCTGCCTATTTGAAAACACAAGTTTTGTGTATTAGACTGTAAGTTTAGTTGATATTTGGAAGTAAGTGTAATAAAAAGGAGACAAAAGGATTATTCTGCATTGAAAGCAATCCTTGCTGTTATGATAAATAGCACTGCTTCATGTCTGAATGAAGATGTGCTGTATATGCTGGTTTGTTCTGTAATTTACTCTTAAGTGGCCAAGAGAAAGATTGCTACTTTACTCTGAATTAGATTCATGAATTAGTTTTACTGGATACAAGTGCTTCTGTATTTAAATCAACAGCCTGAAAACTATATACAGTGTAGTGAGACCATGTCAGATTGAAAGCCTTATTTGCTACTGGAAGTTTGATTGAAGTTTGTTTCCGCACAGACCTGAAAGTCTTGCAATCATGTTGCAGCATTGTAGGAAGGAATAAAACAACAGTGGCATTATCAGTGATATTGTTTATCCACCTTTTTTTTTTTTTTTCTTTTTTTTCTTTTCTTTTTTCTTTTTTTTAAATCAGAACAAGTACTTCAAAATTATGGGGTAGCATAGGTCATCCAAAAGTAGAGGGAGTGACAAACTGGTGAGTTCGAGTTACCTGTTCTTTGTGCTGAAAAGATGACTACTTAGCACACTAATGACTGCCTCTCATTCAAACAGCAGTTAGAAACTGACAGAGCTTATGGGGGAAAGTGCTTAGGGGAGGTGTGTGTGTGTGCACGCGTGTGTGTGCGCAAGCACGCGCATCATCACAGTGCAAGTGAAACTGTAAGGAAGAAATAGGCAAGTGCAACTGGTTCTACCATTACTTTCCCCATTTCTTTAAAATGACAAGAAACAGACGTCTTATTATCCCTGTAGATGTGTATTTAGGCTGTCGTTATTGGGTACCTACTTCATGTTCTGCCTTTGTGATTGACAGTAACTTAAAATTTTGTCTATGTTAAAAGGGCTTGTGTTTTGGTGTTAAAAAACCATCCATAATGCTTACAAGTGAGGATGGCCTTGCTTTTAAAATAGCATAATTTCATTTCTGTTTAAGGTGGGAAGCTTTCTGTGTGTTTTGTTTGTGTGCAATGATATGCTGTGCTGTACTTCATTAACTAGAGGAAGGTTATATTTTCAGGTCACTGTGATGAATGTCATGTTATTTGCTGACTTGCAAGTGGTCATCAAGTTTTTCTGTTTTACTTAAGAACTCCACTCCATGCATAATCGGACAGTCAGTGTATGAGACTATATTCAGTTATTACATGATTATTACCATTTTACAGAATAAAATGCAAATCTTGAGTGCTCAACTAAGAATGACATTATGCTTTAACAAGTCATCTCTGCTATGTTTTCCCATAATGTCCATAAACTGTTTGTAACCACAAAAATCATTTAGTGGTGAAAATACGTGAGTATGGCCAGTGCATTGTCTGCAGATTTTTTTTTTCTATTTTACTTTTTCATGTATCATCTTTTTTTTTTTTTTTTCTTTCCCTAGTTTGTCATCTGAAAGAACAAACTGAAAGCTACAATACAGTGGACTAACTTGTAAATTCTTTACATACGAAGAATTGGCTCTGACGTTTCCTGGTGTACCTCAACTATCTGTTAGTTTAAGTACCTAGACTGACTGGGGCTCAATTGATTACTTACTTGAAGGACAGTGCTAAATGTATTTTAACTTACTAGACAGCAGAAATGCACTTAAAAGTTTATTTTGATCTACCAAATTTGTTAGTTGTACTTAACAGTGGCTATTAGCAAGCTTTATTTGAAGATTTTTTAATTTTTTTTATTTTTTAAACATAGTGGCAAATTTGCTTCATTTAGAGTGGCTTTGCCTGAAAATCGTTTGGACACAGAGAGGTTGGAGGTCAAAGTTATGTTCTCAGGGTTGAGGTCATAATGGCCTGAGATTTTAATTAAATTCCTCCCTTTGTGCTGTTCCAGATGTAATAATAATGGAGTTGGGCTTATGATTTTTCTTTCTTAATCCTTGAAGTAATTCTCTTTGCATCCTTGAGTTATTTCTTCCATTTTGCTTGCATGATCAGGTCTGACTATGCTTATGAAAGCCACCCAGTTCCACAGCTAGCGATTCCAGTAGTCTTTCTGACTGTACTGGTTGACTGTTTATGGACTTGCACGCCCTTTCCCATATACAGTTTTTTGAGCTTAGTTGACTCTCCTTCTCTGGGAAAATCAAGCATAACCACCAATCAAGCATAACCAACCACCACTTGTTGGATGGTAGCTTCGAATTTCTTCTACAAGTGCACATTGTTCTGGTTCTATGCAAAAGTCTGCATATGAGAAATTGTTCGTGTTAGCATGGAAACAGTATGGTCAGAAATTGTACTCCATTAAATAAATGGAGTACATAAATCAGGTTTAGAGATGAAAATTTACTATTCAGAAACAGTTGCATGAATGTAATTCATCTGTTAAATGAATGACATAACTAAATCACCTGTAACAGTTTCCTAAGACTGACTGCAAAGCTGTCTTGTATCTTAAACCAATTTAAGCTTCATGATCGTGCTTTTTGTATTTGGTTGCATTAGATGGGGATTTAGATGTACCTAGTTAAAACCTTGGTGAAAGAAAGGTCTTTCTGCTATGCTTGTATACTATGCCTGTCCTGTTCTCAGACTTTTTTTTTTTCCTTCTGGAAAATCCATATATACATTTATTTCTTTTTCCTCCCAACCCTCTTTT